TCCGATCCATCCATCATAGCTCTTGTGCTAGAACCCCCCAATAGAATGGTGTTGCCGAAAGAAAAAACAGCCATCTCCTTGAAGTTGCCCGTGGGTTATTCATACACATGAATGTTCCTAAACATTTTTTACTGGACTCTGTGTTATGTGCTACCTACCTTATCGACCGTATGCCATCTCGCTTGTTAGGGTACAAGGACCCTCATCAACTCCTATTTCCCAAAGCTCCCTTCTTCTCCATTCCTATATGTGTGTTTAATTGTCAACCGTATGCCATCTTGCGGGTTACTCGTGGTAAACTTGATTCTCGTACTATCCCCTGTGTGTTCTTGGGTTACCCCTCTTCTCAAAAGGGTTATTGGTGTTTTGGCCCCGTTTCCAAAAAATATTATGTTTCTATGGATGTATCTTTCTTTGAGAGTGATCCTTTTTTCCCTTCTCCTCAGGGGGAGAGTAAGGTGGAGGAGAAAGGAGTCTAGGTTCTTCCTCCTTTGCCCCACCCTCCTCCATTCCGTGGTTTTCTTCGTCGCTGCAAGGGCCAACCAAGTTTAAGAGCTGTGGAGCAACTTGAAGTTGTACCACCAACATCATCAGACTCATCGAGGACAAATCCTATCCAACCAGGTACTCTTATTCCTATTGATGTTTATGACCCTCTTGCTATTGATACTTCATCTGCTAATGACCTATACATCCCTATTGCTCAAAGGAAGGGAGTTAGGTCTTGTATCACCAAGCATCCTATCTCCCATTTTATCTTCTATGAGAACATCTCATCCTCTTTTCGTGCTTTCCTTTCTTCCATTGGCAGTGTCCCTATCCCTAAAAAAGTGGCAGAGGCCCTCTCAGTACCTAAATGGACAGATGCAATGAAAGAAGAGATAAATGCCTTACATAAAAATGGTACATAGGAGTTAGTGGATCTTCCTAAGGGTAAGGAACCGATAGGGTGTAAGTGGGTGTTCATAGTGAAGCATAGGCCTAATGGCAGAGTAGAAAGGTACAAGGTCAGCTTGGTGGCAAAAGGGGTTTATTTAAGTGTATGGAGTAGATTATGCAAAGACTTTTGCTCCAATAGCTAAGATGAATTCCATCAAAGTTCTTTTCTCTCTTGCTACAAATCTTGATAGGGATCTTCATCAGCTAGATATTAAAAATGCCTTCCTGAATGATGGCCTTGAAGAAGAGGTGTACATGGTACAACCCCTGGCTTTAGTGCCCAAGGCAAAGAACAAAAAAGTGTGTAGGTTAAAGAAGTCCATGTATGGACTAAAACAATCACCAAGAACTTGGTTCAGCAAGTTGCATCTGGCTATGCAGCAAATTGGCTACAAACAATGTCAAACTGACCATACATTATTTGTGAAAAGAGGAGAAGGAAAGATTGCAACATTGATAATGTATGTTGATGACATAGTGATCATAGGTGATTGGAAAGTTGAAATTCAAAGGCTAAAGGACCTCTTGGCCACTAAATTTGAGGTGAAGGATCTAGGTCCATTATAGCATTTCCTTGGAATTGAAGTGGCCCGCTCACAAAAGGGGATCTTCATTTCTCAAAGGGAATATATCCTAGATCTGTTACAGGGTTCAGGAAAACTAGGAGTTAAGCCAGCTGACTCTCCTATGGATCCAAATTATAGACTGGGTGATTGTTGTGGTGAGATTATCGAGGATGTAAAGCAATTCCAGAGACTTGTGGGCAGGCTCTTGTATTTGTCCATGACCCGGCTAGACATTGCTTATGCTTTGGGTGTACTTAGTCAATTCATGCATGCTCCTAAGACCACACACTTAGAGGCAGCTAAGAGAATCCTCGGGTATCTAAAGAAGTTTCCAGGAGTTGGTTTACTATTTCAAAAGAACGGGCATTTGAAGGTTGAAGTATATACAGATGCTGACTGGGCTGTATCAATTGATGACAAAAAGTCCGCTAGTGGGTACTGTACTTTGGTGGGAGGAAACCTAGTCACATGGAGAAGCAAGAAGAAACAAAGTGTTGTGGCTAGGTCTAGTGCTAAAGCCAAGTATAGAGCAATGTCCCATGGAGTGGCTGAAGCTACGTGGATAAAGAACTTGTTGAGCGAGCTGGGTTTTCCAGTTGATAGCCCCATGTCCTTGTATTGTGAAAGCAAGGCTGCCATCAACATTGCAACCAACCCAGTTCTTCATGATAGAACTAAACATATTGAGGTAGACAAACACTTTATTAGAGAGAAAATTGTTAATGGGGAAGTGTGTACTCCATATGTTAGTTCTAAGGAGCAACTCACAGACATTTTTACAAAGGGCTTACATCACTTACAGCACAATGACTTATGTGACAAGTTGGGCATGATTGATATCTATGTCCCAACTTGAGGGGGAGTGTTGAATCTGTCAGCTTTTTCTTTATTTTGGTGCTGAAGGGGCACATATGTAATTTTATCCTTTTATTTTTAGAGTGGGTCGCCCTAATATAAATACTAAAAAGACTGGCACCACCAATGACAGTTTTGACTTCAAATCTCTTCTCTCTTCTCTCCTCTCACTGCTCTGAATCCTTTCTGTGTTTTTTACCAAGAAAACAGTTCTCAACCTAAGATATCTTCTCTTTTGGTTTGAGATAGTCTCAGGTTTGAAGGTGAACTAATCAAAGAGTGAAATGATAGTTGTTGGGGAGGTTCCCAACATTCAGGTGCTGGCTGACTTGTTGGGATGCAAAGTTGGAAGACTTCCAAATGTTTGGGTTTGCACTTCCAAAGTCATTTGGAATCCAATCCTAGAAAGGATGGACCAAAATCTGGCTACTTGGAAAGCAAGGTACCTAAAGGTGGTAAGGTAACCCTCATCAAAAGTGTCTTGGCAAGCCTTCCGGGCTGTTACATGTCCTTGTTTCCAGTTCCTTTAGAGGTTGCAGATAAAATGGAAAAAGAAGATGGGAGATTTTCTATGGTTGGGATGGAAAGACTCTCCCAAGTACCATCAAGTGAGTTGGAACCAGGATTATAAGCCCCTGTCCCAAGGTGGTTTGGGGATCAGATATATAAAGATTTTCAACTTTGGGTTACTGGGAAGATGGTTCTGCAGGTTTTCTGCTGAACCAGATAACCTATGGAGGAAGATCATAGACAAGAAATATGGTCTAGGAAGAATGGTTGGGATGCCGGAATTCCCCCAATGACATAAGGCTGAGGTGTTTGGAAAGGAATCTATAAAGCTTTCACACATTTCAGCAGAGGAATAAGCTACAAGATTGGAGATGGTAGAAGGCTAAGATTCTGGTTAGATCCTTGGACTGGTGACAGCACTCTTAAAGATTTGTTTCCAGCCTCATTCAATGTGGTAGTAGACAAGGAAGCCTTGGTAGCCTTTTCTTTTTTGATGGCTGATGACGGTATTTGCAGGACTCCTTCCTTTAGAAGGGGCTTTAATGATTGGGAGATTCGGTAAAGAACATGATGCAAGAACTTGGAAGTGGAATAAGTCAGGAGAGTTCTCTGTTAAATTTTTTTACAATTATCTAATGGGAGAGCAAGAAGAACCTTTTCCTAGTAAGGCCATTTGGGGGACAGTGGCTCCTTCAAAAGTCAAGTCTTTTGTTTGGGTGACAACTTGGGAGAGATGACTTACCAAAGAAATGTTATTGAAGAAGGGTACATGAGATGTTGTCTTTGCAATGTGGAGGTCAAGTCTTCAAGACATCCATTCTTCCATTGCAAGTTCAGTACATCAGTTTGGAATCACTTTTTGAAGGTCCTAAACCTGAGCTGATACATGCCCGTTTCAGTGAAAGCTTTGTTGGAGGAATGACACATTTCTGGATTAACCAAGAAAGGGGAAGTTTGCTGGTCTTCCATTCCTTTGGCAATCCTGTGGGCCATATGGAACGAGAGGAACAATAGAATTTTTGAGCACACAGCAACTTCTGAAATTGAAGTCATCAATTTGGCTTTAGGTGCTATTAGAAATTAGTTGTTTATACATTATGTTTTTAGAGGTGTATAAGTGAACTTTCAGGTTGTGATTTGCTCATTGCTAGATGGCTTTGAGGATTCCTCGAGTCTGAGACAACTTATTAGAAAAGCTAAAGCCTAGGCATCAAGAATACACTTCTGCCGCAGATTGATCCCCAAGTAGCGAACTTGATGGCTGACAATGTTGCCAGATTGAGGATCATTCTTACCAGGTTATCTTTGTTGGTCATCTCTTGAATTGTTGGCCTCTCTAAGATCTTTCGCTGCCTCCATTTCTTTGACTTGATAGTCTTATACTTCTATCTTCATTTGATCGTGAATACAATTTTATCGTGGATTAAAAAGAACACCAGTACCTCTTGTGTGGTTTCATTGAATTGAACTGATAAAGTTAGAAACAAATGTTTCAGAAATTGAGAACACTTTGAGAGAAGATCCAATTTATGGTAGGGTATGGGAAATTGGCTATGGAAATTAACAAGGGGTAAAGCTAAAGCAGAGGACCAAGGTTTCTAGACAGTGGAGTAGAAAATTGAGAAGAAAACGTGCAAAGTGCCAAAGTTTTACAGAGTTCAATACTTAACAATATTGACAGAAAAGAAACAACTAGTAACAAAATAAACCCGTAAAACGTTCAATTAAAAACGGATAGGTTTACAAGACAACAATAAACTAAAAAAGTTCTCTATATTTGAAACAAAAAGATCCCCAACTATGAACGGAACTTGCAAGCATTCCACGAATTAGGATTACACAGAAAACTGATCCTAAATTTCATGAAAAAAAAACAGAACATTTAAACCCATGAAATATTTTTTGAATATGAAATTATCATAGATTCATAAATCTGGCCAATTCTATCATATACAAGAAAACATACAAACGGAGTACGAATAAAATATTTTTATTAAGGCGTTCCCAAACCCCGAACAATGTTCCACGCCGAAATCAAACATATGCCCATAAAACAGAACAAATCATGATTCAAACGTGTTTACTTTATGGAAAAAAAAAAGGAAATAGGAATTGATGGAAGCAAATCACCTGTGTCTCCGATGATTATGTATTTGAAGAGGTATGCGTACGACATTCTGGAGAATGAAATGAGATGCTCAGAGGAAGGTGTGAACAAACACGAAGAACAGAAAACGAGAGTATGATGATAATTAATTTAAACATTAAACAGGTCATAGAATTCAAGTTATATGTAGCAATAATATAGGAATCTGTTATCTGTATAAATAAATAAATTAATTAATTGATTGAAGTCAAAGCCGTTTCATGAAAAAAGTATTTCCTTCAAGGATGCGTAGCTATTGCCTGTTATTAACCCCAACAGTGAAGAAACTTCTAAAGTAAATAATGAGGCGGTGGCACGTGCAAATCCAGGTTGTAAGCACATGCGCCAAGTGGATCGGGTCAGGTTGTAAGCGCATGCGCCAAGTAGATGAATCCGGTTCATCCGGTCCAATTATTTTGACCAATGAGAGAAGTAAATAAAGTAAAGAGAGAAGACCGGTCCAATCATAAATCCAACAAACCTGAAACTGTGGAATTAATTAAAAAAAAATAGATTACTATTATTAAGAGGGTGAACAAGAGTGTCGAACTTTTTTTCATTGAAATATCCCAAATTTTGAGTTTGGTATCTTTGTAATTATAGGGATAGAAATATAATTATAAACATTTATTAAATATTGTTATTGATTAAAATATCCTTATTTTTTGAATTTACTCTCTAATTTTGAGGTCATCAAATATAATTTGAACTACAGTTCAATTCTATCTATTAAGTCTTATATTTAGTGTATCAACTCCCATTCCTTCATTGAATCTTATATTAATAATTAACCATATTAAAGAAAAATGAGTGTGACAAAGAATAATTGTTTTTAGTATTGATATAAATAAAATACAAATTTAAAATCAACCTAAAAATGGAGTTGTTTTCCTATTTAGTGGTGAGTCAATAATCCAACCCTTTGGGTCAAAATGTATGAACTATTAATGACATACTTAAACAATAACAACAACAACAACAATTAAAAATATGAAAACACACAAACGTATACAAAATACAAAAAAAAATGTACAAAATATTTGGGCACTTCTCTAATATCATATATTAAWAATATTAAACAAAAATAGCATGATAAATAATAATAAATTTTATAGACATAGAAATATGAAAAAATATAAAAACTTTTGGAAAGATATTATTTACTATCATCATCATTAAAAATTGCCACATGCATACTCATTAGTGCTTTAAAAAAGGGTCAACTTCTTAACCAGCATTGGCCGTTATGGCAGGATCTTCAAAAGGAGCCTAAGATCATGTCTTGATAGAGTTCTGATTAAGGATTGTCTTGGATGTTCTCTCATCCAAATGGCTTATGGCATGACTAATATCATTCCAAACTCAACTTCAAGTCAAGAATGTGGCCATGTTTCTTTCTAACTCTCAAAGTGTTATTTTCCTTTTTTATAAATAATATACATTTCATAACTCAAGGTGGATTAGTCATGAATCATGATGACTATTTGTGAATGTCAGAAAATGGTTCACTTGGGTTGAATTTGGAGTTGCCACCCACCAGTATGAGTGTACAACCGGTTGATTTGGTTAGAACCGAGGACCTAACCGACTATTCGATTTGACCATTTTCTCAAACCGAACTGAACTGAACTAGAGTTCAAAGCTGAACTGACCCTAACCAAATTCGGTTCGATTTGGTTTGGTTAGGCCCTAATTCCACATAAATGACAAACATTGATCAACAAGTAATAAATAATTTATAATTAATAAATGTTATTAATTAAAAGTTAAAATAGTCCATAACCCAGTGGTTTTAATTAATTGACTGTTATTATTAATTAAAAGCTAGAATGCCCCAATGCCCAACTGAACAGAACTAGGGTTGTGCCCAAAGCCCTATGCCGATGGGGAATTCGCGAATTAGGCACTTTTCAAAAACAATTAAGAATTAACAATTCTTAATTAAAAGTTGTTCACAATCAATTAAAGCCTAATGAGAAATTTCCAAATTGGTCATTGGGAAATATAATAATTAATTAGCATAAAGTATTAAATAGATGGATCACATTAAAAAATTAATATACTTCATTAAATAAACACTAATTCGGTTTTCAATTCGATTCAGTTGAAAATCTCAACCAAACAAAACTGAAACCAAAAATCGATTTAAAAAAAAAACAAAAAATGAACCAAATTGATATCCAAATTAACTGAACCGAACTTGTATTTGGTCTAGTTCGGTTCAGTTTTCAGTTCATCAATCGAATTTGAGCAACCCTACCCATCAGTACGAAAATGGARGTTATGAGACATCCGATAATGATTTTCAAAACCGTTTTGTTTTAATGGCGACTCTAATAGCCTGAGGCACAGGCCAAACTAGTATGGGCAAGTCTCAGATAGGAGAGGGAAAGGGGTTAGGCACCCCTCTCCCAGGTACAATAGGTGGGGTCCACACGGGGTTCAAAATGGTCATAAGCATAAAAAGCATAATTAATTATTTCAAAAAATAGGATAATCTATACTACTTATAAAAGTGTGAATGAGGAGGTATTGGCTTCTGGAATTTTCTTTACTAAAATACCCCTCATCTTGAATTTAGTTCATCTCCATTGAAATGGCAGAAAATGTAATTAAAAGAATACCATTAAGTACATTCAATTACCACTCATTAAGTCTTATATTTAAGTCATTAAATAAATCACATTCTCTCTCATTGAATCCAACATTTATACTTTTGTTTATCATCATTAAATTCCACTAATAAATCCATACACAATAATTATTAATAGAATAAAATTTTATATTTTTTTAAATAAACATAGAAATGAAATCATATTTTTCATCTAGGTGGTGGGTAAGTAGTTCAACCATTTGGGYCAAATGGATAATTTCATGATGTCATAAATAAATAATACAAATTTAGAAATATAAAAAATACTTTTGTTTATCATTATTAAATTCCACTATTAAATCCAAACACAATAATTATTAATAGAATAAAATTTGATATTTTTAAAATAAACCTATAAATGAAATCATATTTTCCATTTAAGTCGTGGGTAAGTACTTTAACCATTTGGGTCAAATGGATAATTTCATGATGTCATAAAAATAATACAAATTTAGAAATAAAAAAAAAACAAAAAATATAGAAAAAATAAAATTTGGAAAAAAATTGGACAGGTTTCTATTGTTGTATGTTTGTCATATTAAAAAATAAGTATGATAAAATAGACATAAATTTATTATTGGTGGACATCAAATATACAATTAAAACCCAATGGGAAATATATAGGGGGTGGGTTAGTGGTTCAACCTTTTTTGTCAAATAGGTTAGCCCATGATGTATAATTAACCATATATATTTTTTAAAATAGAATAGTACAAAAAAAATATGAAACAATTTTGGGCACATATATAATATTATATACTAATAATATAAATAAAAATAAGTGTGATAAGCAATAATTATTTAATCAATGATATTCATGATGTCATAAATAAATAATACAAATTTAGAAATATAAAAAATACTTTTGTTTACCATCATTAAATTCCACTAATAAATTCATACACAATAATTATTAATGGAATGAAATTTTATATTTTTAAAATAAATATAGAAATCAAATCATATTTTTCATCTAGGTGGTGGGTAAGTAGTTCAACCATTTGGGTCAAATGAATAATTTCATGCTGTCATAAATAAATAATAAAAATTTAGAAATATAAAAAATACTTTTGTTTATCATTATTAAATTCCACTAATAAATCCAAACAAAATAATTATTAATAGAATGAAATTTTATATTTTTAAAATAAACCTATAAAGGAAATCATATTTTCTATCTAAGTCGTGGATAAATACTTCAACCATTTGGGTCAAATGGATAATTTCATGGTGATAAATAAATAATACAATTTTAGAAATATAAAAAATATATAAAAAAAGAAATTTTGAAAAAAAAATGGACACGTTTCTATTGTTATATATTTGTCATATTAAAAAATAAGTATGATAAAATAGACATAAATTTATTTCTAGTGGACATCAAATATACAACTTATAACCGATGAGAAATTAAACCATCTTCCTATATAGGGGTAGTTTAGTAGTTCAACCATTTAGGTCAAATAGGTTAACCCATGATGTATAATTAAAAATATTTTTTTAAATAGAATAGTACAAAAAATATGAAACAAATTTGGGCACATCTATAATATTATATACTAATAATATAAACAAAAATAAGTGTAATAAGTAATAATTATTTTATCAATGATATTCATGACGTCATAAATAAATAATACTAATTTAGAAATATAACAAATACTTTTATTTATCATCATTAAATTCCACTAATAACTCCATACACAATAATTATTAGTAGAATGAAATTTTATATTTTTAAAATAAACCTAGAAAATGAATATCACATTTTCCATCTAGGTCGTGGGTAAGTACTTTAACAATTTGGGTCAAATGGATAATTTCATGATGTCATAAATAATTAATACAAATTTAGAAATATAAAAAATACAAAAAAATATATAAAAAATACAAAAAATATAGAATTTTTTTTGAAAAAAAATTGGGTACATTTCTATTATTATATATTTGTCAAATTAAACATTAAGTATGATAAAATAGACATAATTTTATTAATGATGGACATCAAATATACAATTTAAAACCGATGGAAAATTAAACCATCTTCCTATCTAGGAGCTGGGTTAGTGCTTCAACCTTTCAAGTCAAATAGGTTAACCCATGATGTATAATTAAAAATGTTTTATTAAATAAAATAGTACAAAAAATATGAAACAATTTTGGGCACATCTATTAATTATATACTAATAATATAAACAAAAATAAGTATGAAAAATAATAATTATTTTATCAATGATATAAATGAAATGCAAAATTTAAAACCAACTTGAAAATGAAACCATTTCTATATCTAGATGGTAGGTGATGGTGCGCGATCTGGAAGCTCCTAGCTAGAGGATGAACTGAACCTTAGTCGTGTAGCGAGCGGGACCAAGCTGCAAGACAGAAGATTAGAGCACCCGGGGGTGGTTAACCCGGCAAGGTCGCTCCGATGCTTAAGTCAGTACCATGTTGTGATTGCGAGCTAGAATCTAAGTGCTAGAGAGCTTGGATACAAGTAATCGCGCGTGTACCTGGACCATGGA